CACCGCCCCTGCCGGCGGAGCAGTGCCCTGGCGTCCGCCCTCCTGCCGGGCACGGAGGTTGCAGCCAATTTCATTTCACTGATTTGTTCCTTGCTGGAGGTGTTGGGGAGCAGCCTAGAGGGGCGGCAGGCTGGGCCGCTGTGGGAGGGTGCGAGAGGATGCAGACCCACCCTACCTGCTCCACCTACAGTGCTCCAAAGCCAGAAACCCCTGCGTTTGGCACTTTCTAGTTCCCACTCTGCTGGGTTGTTTGCTCACCACAGAGCCTCAGCCGGGGTGGGCAGAAAGGGGTCGTCCCGAGGTCTGTGGTGGAGCCAGGCTGTCTGCGTGTGAATCTCAGAGCCACACTTCCTGGCTGTGTGACCTCCGGCTGGTTACCTAACCTCTCTGTGCCTCCAGAGGCGGGCACTGTAAAGGTGTGGATGGTAATTGGAAGGAGGAGCAGTTCCTGGAAGGGCTGCAGGCACAGGGCTGCTAAGAGGGGGCCAAGACGAGAGGCTTGGGCCGAAGCTTCTGTGGCGGTGCGTGGTCCCAGGAAGGAGCCTCTCCAACGCTGAGTGACCTCTGGGGCGGAGGGGACACGCGCGCCTACGCAGCCTGAGCCCGGGTGCAGGAGGGCCCAGCACGCTGGGTGGGGGGACGCTGTCTCTGATGCGCGCGGCCCTCCTGCCCCTCCAGGGGCCCCAGCTCGGATTGGCCAGCCGGCGAGGCGCGCTGAGTGTCCATCTCTGCTGCTGGCCAATAGGAAGGCCGGGAGCGGAGCTGGGGCGGGAGAGCGCCCGTTGCTAGGCATCAGCATCCTCCTCCCTGCGCACCGCACCTGGGGCCTGCTCCCTGGAGGCGTCGCTGGGGTTTTGGCTGCCCAGCAGGTGAGCGTATCTGCGCACGCGCACCGCCACCCACAACCCGGGCAGGGCTCTCTTCTCGGACCCATGGGTCAGGGCACCTGAGCATCCGAGGGGACCCAGGCCCATGCAGGCTCCTGCGAGGGGTGTCTGTCATCAGGCACATGGTTGCAACAGTTGGGTGTGTTTGGTTGCAAAAATAAAAAAGATCCGAAGTCATGGAATTCCTTCATTTCCTCCAGATGACTAGACTGTACCCCTTCAGGCACGTCCCCGCGGAGCTGCACAGGACCCGAGTAATGGTCGGCCTGAGCCCCAGCATGGGAGTTGTCACAACACCAGGCAACAACTGTGATCATTGTGATGTCCGAATAATGCAAAATGCAGTTTCGAAGACTCTGAGAATCGTGATTCCCAGGAACTGCGTGTCTGAAGCGGGAGCATGAGAAATAATTGACTGTTAGTAGCTGGCTATCCGCTCTCTGGGGAGGGGGCATCAACTGGCAAAGCCGCTCACTGTCCCTGGCACAGGGGCTTAGAATCCTACAGGTCACCGGTGGAAAACGGAGCGGGTTGGCTTGGGGCTGAAGCTCTCGGTGAAGACGGACTCATTCTTGTTCTGACGCCTCGGCCCTCCGGGCTGGCCACTTCAACGCCAGCCGTCGTTTTGCCCAAACCTAGTATCTGAGAAATGATGGTCTCATCCCTGGGGAGGAGCCGCCAATCTCCAGGGTCCGTCCCAGCGATGTCTAACTGGGTCAAGCGCCCCGTGTCCCTCGGCACACACTCGCCGCCTTCCTGCCTTTCATTTCTCATCTATCACATGGAAGATGTGATAATTAGGAAGAGAGAGAGGTGTGCCGCGGAATGCCCCCGAGAGCTGGGAACTGGTGAGCTGAGATTCCGAACGTGGCACTGTGTTCTTAGGAATGCAGCCCCCGCTGCACTTCTGCACCCCGGGGGAGGGGGGGCGGAGGGGGGCTTCCAGGTGCGTTTACCACAAACGCCTCCTGATTCTCACGGGGGCAAACAAGTAACTCCATCCTCCATCTTCTTCCTCTTCCTCCCTGGAGACTCGGGGGCGCTGCGGGGTGGCCAGGCCACATGTAGGCCAACCATCTTGGATACGCCCAGGGGTTAGGGTCCCTGTTGAGAGGAGCCCCTCCCCCGAGCTGCAGTGAGCCCGCCCCAGGCTCCCACCTAGGTGCCATCATCAACACCCGGCCAGAACTGACTTTGCACCTGGAGTGCAGAAAAACATGCGGCTCTGTGAAAAATTAACCGAGCGCTCGCTCTAGCTCCCAAGCGTGAGCTTCTGGCCCCAGCCAATGCTCAGCTTGTTAGAGCAGGAAAAGGGCAGTGGACTGAAACCAGAGAGAACTTTCTAGAAAATCCGAAAAAGGTTCAGCAGCAAAGAAAGGGATCTTCCCTGCCTCCACCCCGAACCCTGCCTCCACCCTTATATAAGCAGCTGCCTGGGCGATCCTAGCTGTCCCCCCACCCCCACCCCCCGCCTGGAGCCCCCCAGGGGGCCCGTCAGCCCTGGGGGTTGCTCATTCCACCAACCAGCATCCAAGAATTCATGGAGAGTTGAGTGAGTTGGAGTGTCTGCACACGGCCGACCTGAGTTCGATCCCCAACATCCCATGCGGTCCTCCATGCATCATGGAGAAGTGACTCCTGAGTGCAGAGCCAGGAGTCACCCCTGAGCACCGCTGGGTCTGGCCAAAAAAGAAACAAAAAATCCCTAAGACTGTAGGAAAATAGGCACCCACGGTTCAGTTGCAGCACTGGTGTCTGGGCCCTTGGCTTCCCTGGCCAGCTCTTGGGTTTCTCATCTCTGATCTGTGTTCATTGAGACAGGTGGGCACAGCTAGGGTCACCGGCCAGCCTGGCTCCCTGGAGCCTCAGTTTCATACCTTTGATTTTCTTTCAGGGGGCCACACCCAGCAGTACTCAGGGCCCACTCCTGGCTCTGTGCTCAGGGATCTCTCCTGGTAAGGTTCAGGGGACCAGAGATAATGTCAGAGATCAAACCCAGGGTGGCCGCGTGCAAGGCCAGCGCCCTCCCCATTGTACTGATGCTACTTCCCTCATCTCGGAAACTTAGGTCATCCTGAAGGTCAAACAGGACAACTCTCCGGCAGACCCCAGGTGCAGCGCCAGGCTGGGCACACCCTCCCCACCCTGCACCGCCGTCCACGTCTGTCTAGGGGCAGACCCCTCTGACTTCCACGTAGAAACCAGTTTTATTTCAGCACTAAATCACGGCCAAGCTGACACTCTCCCGTGCCAGGAAACGCATCATTAAGCAATGGAATGGCTTTAGGGGATCATGGCGCTGGGCCCCCTCCCTGCTGGGACCTCCTTTTGGACAGGGATGATGAGGACAGCTGGTCACGACTTACTCCACGCTGAACTGGCCACACGCCCTGCACTGGCCTGCCCGGGGTGCGAGAGAGGACTCGTGGTCTGAGGAGATGGCTCAGTGGTCAGGGGACCCCCGCCCAGCACCTGCATTTGGTCTTTCACCTCCCAGAATGGTGGGATAGACCAATTTTAAGTCTCCAGGATTGGCCCTTTTGTGAGGACAGTGCTGTGTGGAGACCCCCACTTCCATGAATTTGTGAATTCAGAAACCCTTTCTCCAAATGCATAATGAATGGGTGGGAGGGGCCGAGCAGGTAGGGCGGGGCGGTTCAGGGGGTTCCTGCTTCCCAAGACCTTCCAGGTGCCCTCACTGTCCCCAGGGGACTCTGCAGGAACCCCTCTGCTCCCCCCTAGCCCCAGGCGGAGCTGGTCTCCCTTCCATCCCACCCCAGCTTGCAAACTCCCTGGGCGTGGGGTGGGTCCTACTGCTTCGGCAAAGTGGACATCATGGGGTTGGAATGGCCCGCAGCGCAGGACAGCCTCGTTGAGGCCCACGCGTCAGGGCGCATCTCCTTTCCAAGAGCAGTGAGAGCCACGCAAAGCCCACGCTGCCCACACTGCTGGCCAGCGGTCACTGTTGGAGGCGGATGCTGGGGCTAGCGTTCATTTGGGTTGTCTCCCCGGTTTGCACAGAGACGCGTGCGCGCGCGCACACCCCGACTGGTTAAAACAGCCACATAAAATGTACTGCAACTTCCGTAGAATTTAATTTGTGCTACAAGACAGGTTGCATAGGAAACGATTTCAAGCCCCTGAGGAAAAACATCTCCATGGTTTAAGGTGCGATTGGTTTGGTTTCTTCTTTGGGGGCAAGGTGAGAGACGGTCCCTGGCTGGAAGGTGGGCGTCGGGGGGGAGGGGGAGGTCAGGGAGCGGTGGGCCTGGGTTTCTGCAGCATAAAATAGTGCTGTTGTTGTCTAGCTGGCGCCGGAGCCAACGGGTACAGGAGACCATGCCACGAAGCCCATTGGGTCATGGGCAGTTTCGGGAAAGCGGATCCAGGTCTGGAGCTCACGGCTGGCAATGTGCTCACGGGATTGGCCCCGCCCCCGCCCCCTGGGATTGGCGCTGCGAGCGCCCGGCCCCGCCCCTGTCTCCTGGGATTGGTGCAGCGACTGGCCCCGCCCCCTGCCTCCAAGACTCCGCCCCCAGCCACACTGTAGAGTGGCCGTGCAGGGTTACAGCTGGGCGCGCAGGACCTTGCCGCCCTGCCAGGTCCCTGAACTGTGGACGAGGCACCTTCATATTCGGAAGAATTTTGTCCCGCTCACCGACTTTTATAGAGGTTGCACCAAACTATGGATTCCCCAGTGCCGTCTGTTTCCTAGGCCATGTGCGCACGCCAGGACGGGGCCGGGCACTTGGCAGAGGACACGAGGTGGACAGTTTGGCACTTGGCAGCCAGATCTCCGCACCTCTGTGGGACGTTTCCTCTGAGCCGCAAAGGCCGCTCGGGAGGTGTCTGAGGCTGTGGGGCTCCCTCCCCCGGGTGCCCCCTTTTTCCTGGGCAGGAACAAAACCAGTGCCCAGCCTCTGGTCACCCGCTTCCTCCCTGCGAGCTGTGCTGGGCGCCGGAAAAGCCTGTTGCCTACTGGGCTTCCTTCTGAACAGGCGTGAGGAGGTCCTGCACTGGACAGTCGGGTCCTCCCAGGCTGGAACGCAACGTCCGGAGAGAACCAGAAATGCCCCCGTGACCTCTACATACATATGTACATCTGCAACATAATTTAAAAAGGCTTTTTATATAACACAAAAACCTCAACAGCCTCTGCCCCTCCGAAGTGGGGCGGTTTTTTTTTTCCTCCCAACCTTTACGGGTCATTAAAAAATTAGGTACCAATCTGATAGGTCGCCGCCCCATACTTAAAAAAAAAAAAGGGACTGCAATTCTTCACAAATAGAAAGCTATTCGGATTGGCACCGCCCTGCGGGAGAGGGTCTCCTCTGGTCTCCCTGGAGACAAGAAGGTGGGGAGCAAGGGTGTGCTTGGTCCCCAGGGTCGGCCCAGCCTGGGGGAATCCCGACTCTGTCTGGGCAGCCCACCCACCGGGCCCACAGACCCCAACACCCAGTATCTGCAGCAGTCTCCCAGCGGGGGCGGGACGAAGGCTGGGCCCGTGTGGGCGTGGCCTGGCAGGAGGCGGGGCCAACCAGGGGCTTGGCCTGGGTGGGCGTGGCCTGAAGGAGATGGGGCCTGAGTAGGCGTGGCCTTGGTAGGCATGGCCAACCACCAGGAGGCGGGCCTGGATGGGCGTGACCCAACCCGGAGGTGTGGCCTGGGTGGGCGGTGCCTGAATGGGCGTGGCCCGAAGGAGATGGGGCCTGAGTAGGCGGGGCCCGACAGCAGGCGTGGCCTGGGTGGGCGTGGCCGACCAGGAGGCAGGGCCTGGGTGGGCAGGACCCATCCCGGAGGTGTGGCCTTGGTGGGCGTGGCCGGCCAGGAGGCGTGGCCTTTCAGATGACAAAGTCGTCCTGGTCAGCCGGGCTGAAGGCGGCCGCGCGCAGCACGTCCAGGGTGTTCACAAGGATCAGTGTTCCCGTGAGGTGCTTCCAGCGCTTGGTGATGGGGTTCTTCATCTTGTCCAGGCCCAGGTGCAACTCCTGGATGACGTCCCGGTAGCTGTCCCCAATCTGTTGGCTCCAGGTGAGGAGAAAGTCGTAGGCGGGCTTCCACATGGCCTGTGGCAGGGGGAGGGCACCGTGAGAGGCCCACACGGGTGGAGAAAAGGAAGCAGGACCCCACCTGACCCTCCCCGGGCCTGCATGCTCCCCAGCCCCGTTCTGGGACCCTTCCTGGGTGGGCTTGCCCCCCATCACCCTGAGCTGTCTCCCCGGAAGCTCCCAGCCTCCAAAGCAAGTGCTCTGAGAATCACGGTGCAGGTGCCGTGCCCAGCACCAGCTGGTGGGGAGAAACCTCCAGGCACCCAGGGAGGGAACCCCAGCCCCGTCCTGCCCCGGCCACACCCCTCGGCCCACTGGACAAGAGCCCAGCCTTGGCGCACAGCCCACCCTCTGCTCTGGCCCGTGGACGTGGCTCTCACCTCGCTGTCCACCACCCCGTTCCGGTCCCGGTGTGGGGACTCGTAGGCGTCCATCTGCTGCTTGGACACCTTGGCCAGCTTCTCGGCCAGTTCCCTCCAGCGCTGTGCCACCTCCACGGCTGTGGTCAGCAGCACAAAGTCCTGGATGAGCCTGACCACCAGGCCCTGGCAGTCCATCTTCAGCAAGGCCTGCAGGGGGGGGGGGGGCATCAGCAGAGTGTGCGGGCTCCGTCCACAGGGCGTGCCCGGTGAGCTGGGGCACAGGACAGCTGATGTGCTGAGGTCTGGGTCTCTGCCGCCCCTCCCCCCGCCCCATTTCATCCCCCTGGGCCCTGGGGTCATGCTGGAAAGCAGAGGCTCCATGGAGGCCCCATGAGGCCCTCATTGGTGCAGGTGCCTGGGGTGCCCCCTGCCCAGTCGTGGGCGCCCCGAGATGGAAGCAGCCTTGTGGGGAAAGGGTGTCAGGCAGAAATGAGCCAGGGTGCTGGGTGCGGGGTCCTTCCTCTGCCCCAGGGGTAGTGGGGAGAAGACAGGCCACGGATCAGACAGACCATGGGTGGAGGGACTATGGCAGGATCTGGGCCCGGGTGGGGAGCAGGGGACAGGAACACCTTGCTGCGTGGGAAGAGGAACTCCCCAGCCCGGCCCCCACGCCCCTCCCCCTCCCCAGAAGCCCTGGGGCGCCCACCGGGCATAGCCACGGTCTGAGAAGGAGCCCCTTAGCCAGGCACCCATAGGCCACCCAAGGGCTCGTGTGTCCCCGCTGGGTCCCACTCCTGTTTGCAGCTTCAACACAACCCAACTGCACGGGTGGCTTACGCCGTCACACGAGGGGCCCAGGGAACACAATCCAAGAACAGGAGAGGGGTCGCCCCGCTCAGATCTCAGACCCGGACGGCCTGTATTCAGGCCTCCATCAGCCCACACCCCCATCTCCTCACCCACCCACCCATCCTTCCTCTACTCATCCACCCACCACCTACCCACCCATCCCCCACCCACCTCATAAATTCATCCATCCACACACCCATCATTCACCCACCATTTCACCCACCTGCCTCCCCACCCATCCATCCTCCATCTGTCCATTCATCCACTGACCATCCACGCATCCACCTACACCCCTATCCATGGTCATCCACCCATCCAGCTGCTGGCCCGCCATCCACTATCCCTCACTTACGCGACCACCCCCTTCCTCCTGCCATCAGCTCTGAGTTTCCGGGCTCAGAGCCTTTCTTTCTGGGAGCTGATGCCCCATCAAGGTGAGAGACAAGGAAACACATGAATGTGACCATTTCTGCCTCGAGACAGCACTGGAAGGGTCAAACCGGGGTGACAAGGCCCACTGACCTAGGACGTGGGGAAGGTGTCTCGGGGCAAGATGACACCTGAGCTGGCCACGGGATCCCGCCGGCTGCACGGAATCGGGGTGGGGGAGGGGGTTCAGGCAGAGGAACAACCCTGGACCCTGAGCAGGTCAGCTTTTATTAGTTGGGGGATTCCGAGAGAACGTGGGGATGGCTAGCTGGCCGAGCCGGGGGGCACCCCTGGAGGGGGGTTGTGTGGGGGCCTGAACCCTGGTGATGAGATGGACACTCAGTGCCACCTCCAAACATTCCCTTCGGTCTTCCCGCAAGCATCCTGCCAACCTTCACCCCGACAGAGACACGGAGCCAGTGCTGGGAGTTCTGTCCAGCCCGGCTCCGCCTCCCGGGGGGGATGGAGTTTCCTGGGGACCCCCCCACCCAGCACAGGCACTCTCAGAAAGGGCACAATCACAGCAGCCATGACCCAGAGACCACCCAGTACCTGATGACAGGAGTGGGGTTAGAACCGTAGTCCCAGGGCTCGATTGATAGCGGGTAGGGTGTTTGCCTTGCACTCGGTCAACCCGGGTTCGATTCCCAGCATCATCCCATATGGTCCCCTGAGCACCGCCAGGAGTAATTCCTGAGTGCAGAGCCAGGAATAACCCCTGTGCATTGCTGGGTGTGACCCAAAAAAGCAAAAAAAAAAGAACCGTAGTCTCTGTTCCACATCGGGACAGGGCTCAGCCGTCAGCCTTGAGCAGAGCAGGTCCCGCTGCCTGGGGGGGCGGGGCGGGCAGGGGGGAGGGTCACGCTTCAGGAAGCGAGCAAAGGACAAACACCAGCTGATGTCACCCAGGTGTAGAGTCAGTGGGAGCCGACCCCATGACCCTGCAGGTGCTGCCGGTGTGGGTGGGGGGCCCTGGCGTGGGTCTGGGCTTCATGCAGCACTGAGCAGCTGTGAAAAATCACAGGCCGCCGCGGGAGCGCTGACGTGCGTGGGTGGGGCGGGGCGGGGCGGGGCGGGCAGCGGCCAGGCCAAGGCCACAGAAACCGGATCGGCCCAGCGACACCCGATTCAGGGAAACACAACACCTGGGGCTGCTGCGGGAGCACAGCGCGGGGAGGACGGCTGCAGAACCTGTTCCCGGGAGTTCAGGGAGCCCGGCTGGCCTCCAAGGTCAAGCTCCGTTCCCGGCCCCTCTCTGGAGGCTGGGAACACAGGGTGGGCGGGACAGGGTTCCCCCCACGCACGCTGGCCCCTCACCCCGATTTGGCCCCCACCCCGGGCGAGCCCAGGGAAGCCCACGGGACAAGGCTGCTCGGAGGGTCCCGCTCAGACCCGGGTGGAGGGAGCACCCCTCGGTGGCTGGGGTCCCCGGCGTGAGCCGCACGCGGGCAGGGGGCAGAGGGGAAACTCGGGGCTGCGTCCCCGCCCGCAATCTGGTTGTCCGTGGGCCGCACCCGCAGCCCTGCACCTCACGAGCCCGCCCACCCCGGGCCACGTCTCCCCGGGCCAGGAGCACCCCGCCCCCCACCAGGCGGCACTGCCCGCTTTGGGGGGGGGAGCCTGCCCTGCGCGCACCCTGCGGAACCCTTTGGGGCGCAGGGAGCCAGGAAGGCCCCGGGGAGGGGGTGAGAGTGGAGAGGCTGGGCGCCCCCCTCCGGGCCAGGAGCACCCCGCCCCCCACCAGGCGGCACTGCCCGCTTTGGAGGGGGCCTGCCCTGCGCGCACCCTGCGGAACCCCTCGGGGCGCAGGGAGCCGGGAAGGCCCCCGGGGAGGGGGTGAGAGTGGAGAGGCGGGGCGCCCCCCTCCGGGCCAGGAGCACCCCGGCCCCCACCAGGCGGCACTGCCCGCTTTGGAGGGGGCCTGCCCTGCGCGCACCCTGCGGAACCCCTCGGGGCGCAGGGAGCCGGGAAGGCCCCCGGGGAGGGGGTGAGAGTGGAGAGGCGGGGCGCCCCCCACCCCGGCCGGACCGGCCGCCCTTCCCACTCGCTCCCGGGCGGGCGCGGAGACAGGGGGAGGCCCGCGGAGGGGAGGCCCCCGGGGACCCCGCGGGGGCCCGTGCCCGGGGCGCGCGCTCACCATGATGAGCTCCTTCTGGAAGGACTTGCGCTCCCGGTTCTCGGCGCTGTTGCAGTCCTCCTTGAGCTTCTCCAGCACGGAGGCCACGCGCTCGGGCTCGCTGTCCAGCTCGGCGCGGCAGAAGGCGGTGAGCGGCAGGTGCGCGTAGCCCAGCGCGTCGGCGAAGGCGCGCCAGCTGCCCACGTTCTCCATGAGGCGCGTGCGCACCGACGCGTAGATGTAGGTGAGGAACTTGCAGGGCCGCAGGATCTGCTCGAGCAGCAGCGACGTGCTGAGCTCGGGGCCCGGCAGCAGCGCGGGCCGCGCGCGGCCCAGCAGCAGCACGTTCTTGGCGTGCACCAGCCCGACGCGGCCCTGGTGGTACGCGATGTACCACTCCTTGGTCCACAGCTGCCCGCGCAGGCGGACGCGCTCCTCGCTCAGCAGCGCCAGCACCTCGCCCTTGCGGTACTCCAGCAGGTAGTGGCTCTTGCTCGGCCGCGTCACCGTCTTCAGCAGCTTGCCCAGCTTCAGGCTGCCCACGGGCCGGTCCCGGAAGGTCGGGTAGCGGGCGGCGGCGCCGGCGGCCAGCGGCGACAGCACGATCTTGCCCACCTCGTTCTTCTTGAGGAAGCGCCGCGGCCCCGCCGGCCGCACGGCGCTCTTGGGCGGGGGCGGCGGCGTCCGCACGCAGAACTGCGCCAGCACGGCGTCGCGCTCGTCCTTGACCTGCACGCACAGCGTGAAGTCGGCCGGCTCGGCGGCGCCGCGGCAGGCGATGGGGAAGAGCAGCCGGCTGGCCTTGCCCAGCTTGAGCTGGAAGCCGCGCACCACGCGGGCCGGCGCGCCCGCCGCCGCCGCCGCCGCCTCCGCCTGCACCTCGTAACTGCTCACGCTGGGGAAGACGCTCACCTGCAGGTCCTGCGGCCGCGCCAGCGCGAACTGGTGCTTGCCCCAGAGCTGCAGCGCCACGGGCGCCGGGCGCGCCGCCTCGCCCACCAGCAGCGTCTTGGGGGCGCAGTCGTGCCCGAAGAGCGTCACCACCGTCTTGAAGGACGGGTGGATGTGCTTGGGCCCGTACACGCCCACCGTCACCTTCTTGTGGATGAAGTCCCACACGGTGGCCGGGTACAGGATGTCGGGGCCGTGCGCCACCAGCGCCAGGTACATGCAGGGCTCCAGCGGGTCCAGCTGCACCTGCACCGTGTCGCCGCGGCTGCAGCTCAGGGGCGCGGGCGCGTAGGGCCCGTCGCGGGCGGCGCTGCGCAGGCACCGCAGGCCCACGGCGCTCTGGCTGAACGCGTCGGCCTTGACCTCGGCCGCGCCCCGCAGCTCCAGCACCAGCCCCGTGCGCACGGCCAGCGTGCCCAGCCGCACCTCCACCACGGGGCTCACGCTGCTGCAGCGGTCGCTGTTCAGCTCCAGCGGGGGGTCGGGCAGCACCCGCAGGGACACCTGCTGCGTCTCGCCGGGCGCCACGTGGCCCTCGGGCACGTGCAGGCTGATGCCCGTGTCCGGCAGGCGCACGGCGCCGCCGCCGCTGCCCAGCTTGCACACCACGCCCGTGTCCACCGCCTGCGTCTGGCCCCAGCCGGGGCTCTGGCCCAGCAGGTCCAGGTCGTGGCAGGAGCGCGCCAGCTTGCGGTGGCTCAGCCAGGCGGCGCGGAAGTCCTCGCGGCTCTGGAACTGCTCGGGCGCCGGCGACTGCAGCCCCGCGGAGAGCGCCCCGGCCGCGGCCGCGGCGGAGGCGGGCGCGTCGGCGCGGGCCTGCAGCACCGACAGCTCCGACAGGCTGTACGAGCGCTTGCTGCGGAAGAAGGGGTTGTCCGAGGACGGCGACGACGACGACGGGCCCGCGGCCACCGCCTCGGCCGGCTCGAACAGCAGCAGGTCCACGGAGCTGGCGGGCGCGGCCGGGCCGTGGCCGTTGAGGAACGGGTTGGTCTGCAGCCCCGGCCAGAAGGGGTTGTTGCTGGCCGGCCGGCCGGGCGCCCGCTCCTCGGGCCAGCCTCCCAACAGGTCCAGCTCCTGGGCCGCCGCCTCGTCGGGGCTGTCGGCCGCCGGGTCGATGACGCCGCTGTCGCTCAGCGTGGACAGCCGCGGGTCCAGGGGCTGCACGTAGGCCGCGGGGATGTAGCCCATCTCGGTGGTGTTGTGCGCGTACCACCAGTCCCCGCCCGACGCGTCCAGCACGTACAGGTGGTCGCCCTTGGAGAACTTGAGCGTGGTGAAGTTGGTGGGGCAGTAGTCGCGGATGGCCACCACCTCCTTGGCGTTGCCGAAGGGCGTGGGGCTCTCGGCGAGCAAGGCACTGGGGGAAGGCACTGTGGGGAGGGGGGGGACACGGAGGGGTGAGCGGTGAGGGCTGGGAAGGCACCGGGGGACACGGGGAGGGGTGCGGGGGTGAGGGCTGGGAAGACACGAGGGACTCGGGGGCGGGTGGCACAGCCACTCCGATGCCCTCCGGCGGGCTTTGGTGTTCCCGGGAGGGCGAGTTGGGTGAGGCCTGTCTGCTTGCAGTGGGGACTCCCTGCGGGAGGCTGGGCACAGCCGGGCGGGGACCCGGGTGCCCTCTCTGCTGACCCTGCTCCAGAGATCGCTGACCGCTGGGGCAGGCGGGGTCAGGGGTTGGCGGAGGTCGGAGCAGAGCCTCTCACGTGGCTTCTGAGTCCCCAGCTCTCTGCTGCCTGGCCAATCCTCAGTGTCACCGGGAAGCTCCGGGCCCCAGGACGCCCCTCAGCCCCCGCCGTGGTGGTTCTTAAAGCAACTCTCACGGCCCGAGGAACGTTTCGGTGACACCGACTGCCGCTCTGGCTTTCCCCAGATTCCAGAACTTTCCACTCAAGCGTCTTGCTTAAGAGGGGTCGGGAGGGAGCTCGCTCAGGTGTGTACCCTGGGAGTGGATGGAGGCACAAGCCCCTTCCGGAGGCCCGGCCCCTACCCTACCCGGTCCCCGGCACCCCCAGACACACATAGGAGGTGGGGACTCTCGGTCCCATTTCAGAGTGGGGTGGGGGGCTCAGCACTCCAGAGACACACCTCCTGGTGCAACCCGACACTGTGTGGGAACCACCCCCCCACGGCAGTGTGGCAGGATGGCGGGGGTCTCAACTCACCCCTCCTGACTGGGGTGCGGTAAGAAAGCAACACCCCTGCACGTGCCGCCGACAGGCTGCTCACAGCAACTCGGGGCCTTTCTGCCATCTCGCCCGGGGCTCCCGTGGGCCCCTCAGCACTGGTGGCGAGGCTGGGTGGGGACCATAGGCGGGGTCAGGGTGGGGCGGGGCGCCAGGACAAGGTAGGTGAGAGTCTGCGCAAGTCCCTCCAGGACCGGTTTTGGCGGGAAATACCCGAGGCAGCACCTTGCTCTGGGCGAGGTAAGAGGGAAGCTTCGGGCTGGGACCGGACGGCCAGGACAGTGATGGTGACAGTGATGATGGTGATGGGGTGATGGTGAGAATGGTAACGGGGATAATAACAATGATGTGATGGTGACAGTGATAGTGTGAGGGGGATGGTAATGGGGTCACAGTGACAGAAAAGGGGATGCCTGTGACAGTGGCAGTAATGGTGACAGTGCAGGTGGCAGTCCAGATGGGCAGGGCAGCCCCATCCAGGGCCCCATGAGGACTTGGCCCCTGGAGAAAGCCCGGGCGTCTCGGGCGACCCCCACTCACCTTTGACGTCGTCGAAGCTGCTCTCCGAGAGCCCCTCACTCACGTCGATCAGGGTCCCCTCGGACTTGCACCGGGGGAGCCCGTTGGCGTTGGCCGCGCGGATGCGCTGGGCGGCCATCTCGGCGGCTCTGCCGGCCACGCTAAGGCCGCATGTCTGTCCCGCGGTCCCTCAGCGCCATGTTGTCACGCTCCGTGGCGCCCTCGGCTTCCTCCTGCGGGGCGATGACACGGTGAGCACCGGGCGATGGTGCCCGACCCGAGATGCGGGGCCCCGACGCCCGAGCCTGCGCTCACGACCCGCCCCATGTTCCCGTTTCCCAACCCGCCTCAGTACCAGGCCCACCCCTGTCCACGCAGTCCAGGACAATTGTCTGGTTGTACCCGGGGTCCCGGGCCCGCACCCAGGCCCCTTCGTCCTTGCGGTGAGCCAGGCACCAGCTGCCACCCTCGCCCGTAGCCCAGCCTGGGCACCGCCCTCCATGTGCCCTGTGTGTGTGCCAAGAGGTGTCGAGCCCGGCCCCCTCCACCTGTGTCCCCCATTTCTCCCTCCCCAGGAACCACAGGCTGGAGGCCAGGGGGCTGCAATGAGACAGGAGAGGCCTCCCAGCCCCCAACACCCGCCACTCGCTCACCTAGCACCTGTCTCTCCAGAGCCAGCCCGCCCGGAGCCCGGCACCTCGCAGGGACCTCCTGCGGGCTGACACCCCTGCTCGTGCCCCTCACACACGCTCACCTACACACATACACACACACACGTACGTTCACACATGCACACACAATATGCACACATATTCCCGTAAACTCGGCCGCACACTCCCATGAACTCACACATGCACGCACACACTCCCATGAACACACACACACACCCTCACACATGTGTTCATGCATAAGCACACACACACTTCCATGAACCATACACGCACAGATCCTCACACACGTGTTTATGCATATGCACGCATACTCCATGAACTCATACACGCATGCAAACACCCATGAACCATACACACGTGCACACACCCTCACACACGTGTTCCTGCATCTGCACGCACACACTCCCATGAAACATACACGCATGCACACCTTCACTCCGACGCGGGCACAGGAAGTCAGGAGACAAACGTTTCCCGCCCAGACGCTCCGTTTCTTTATGGTCTGACAGGAGCCCTTTGCTCTGGGTTTGGACCTTCTATGTAGTTTACTTCTTGGCAGACGTTTCCCGCCCCCCAGACCTGGGCAGGGAGGTGGCACGGAGTGACAAGGACACTGAGCACACGGGCTTTACACGTGGGACGTCCAGCCTCGCCTCCAGGCATGGCCCTTGGGCACCGCAGGAGTGACCCCCGAGTAAGGAGCTGGAGACCCCTACCCAGCCTGCCTGGGGAAGCCGCCTCCCATGCCCGCCCAGACTGCAACCGTGCGCAGGACAGACTGGACAGCAGGTTCTGGGCGGGGCTCTTGCCTCCCAGGCTCTCCCCCAACTCCCCACCCGTGTCCCCCTCACACCATCCTGCCTCCTCCGTCTCCAAGCCGGCGCACACGCATCTCACACACGCACACACACGCATGTCTGTGCATATGAACATACACCCTCCCGTGAACTCATACATGCACAACGCTCTCAAAGGCTGACACGGCCCCTCGGACTCCGAGCCAAGGGGGCTTCCTGTAGGCGCCCACCTGCTGAGGGGTAGGGAAGATCTGCCCGGGGGACAGGGCGGGCCCAGCAGCGACCAGGCCCTCCCTGCCAGCCTGTGTCTGAGGGCCACAGGAGACCAGGGGCGGGGACTCCTGGAGGGGGTGGGATTCCAGGAGGGGGCGGGACTCCAGGAGAGCAGAGGAGCTGGCACATCGGCCCCTTCCCTGCATCCAAAGCCGGTGACCCCCCACGCTTGCCCCCAGGGGCTCCAGGAGGCTGCGGGGACCCGCCTTGCTTGCATGTCAGCCTCCCTATGCTGTGGACAGGGCCGCGGGTGGTGGGCTGGTGCCGGCCAGCGAGAGAGGCAAGGCAGGGTGTCCAGCCGCTGCCCAGCACACTGCGCCCATCCCCACAGATAGAGCCTCCCCGGTGCTCCTGGCCTGGACATGACAGCAACCCGGCCAGTTCCGAGCCAGTGTCCGGCTGCGTCACATTTGGCCATACAAGTGCTGGGACCCCTGGCCACGGCAGCTCCTGCAACGGGGGGCGAGGGGTCACCCCATGGTTCTTGAGCACTTTCCTGGGAGCCTGACAGACTGGGGCAGCTGCGGGAGACAGATGTCAGTGCAGATGCTTCCTGGACAGTGTGGGAGTGGGGGGGACCCGCCAGGGGGGCGTGTGCGTGTCCTCCTCCCCTGCCTCCCCCCACAGTGTTTCGGGGCGGGGGGCAGAGATTCACTCCCTGGGGTGTCTGAGTGTGTGGTAGGTTCTGGAGGTGCTGGGGAGGGGGCGCCTCACGCTGTCCAGGGCTGAGGTTCTGCGGGCGTGGGCTCAGAGGCCACACAGAGTGGCCCATGGTAGGCAGGACAGTGGCTGGTGGACTCAGGGGTCTCGACTGCCAGGAGCCCCCCCCCCCCCATCTCGGCCAAGGCAGCTTCCTTGTGGTTCCAGGGCGAGGCCCGTTCTCCGGACTCAGACCCCTGGTGGCCCTCGCCCACCTGTCTGTGCTGCCAGGACTGGACAGCTGGGTGGACAGCTGGGCACAGGGCCGGCATGGCCCAACTGAGATGCAGGTGTGGCCCTAAACCAGCACAGCAGAGAACGTGGCCCAGGGGACCAGAATTCCCATGCCCTTTAACCCAAACATGGAAGGTTCTGGAAAACCTGCGTGGGTAACCCCCTCCCCTGCTGAGGTAGCTTCTGCGTTCACAGCCTGTGCCCCGACGCGTGGATGGGCTGACATATGGGTGGACAGTCCTTCTGGACCTATCAGGGAGAGCACATTTCCGGCCGAGGTGCACTCTGGGAAATCCTCGGCCTGGTGCTGACGACGGCGGGTAGACTGAGGCCGGGGTGCCCCCTGAGAGAACCAGGAGGGAGCCGCGTTCAGGGACAGGAAGCGGTGAGAGGCTAGTCTTGTACGTGGATGCTCCATCTCTGACACTGCCAGGAGTGAGCCAAGCACAGATCCAAGGGAAAGCCCTGACACCGCATGAAAAACCAAGAACAGGGGCTGGAGGAGGGCATTTGCCTTGCACGCGGCCGACCTGGGTTCGATTCCCAGCATCCCATATGGTACCCTGAGCAGCGCCAGGAGTAACTCCTGAGTGCAGAGCCAGGAGTAACCACTGGTATGGCCGGGTGTGACCCAAAAAAGCAAAAAAAAAAAAAAAAAACCACCAAGAACCACCAAACGTGGGGTGCAGACACGCAAGCGAAGCAGCTTCAGGGCTTGACGCTACGTGGACTGGGGGTTCTCCTCAACGAGAGAGAGCCGGGCTAGCCCTCACCCCCCAGGGCACCAGGCCTCCAGGGATTACTGTGTCCAGGAAGCCCTAACGGAGACACAGAATCACCATCAACCACACATCCACCTCCGGCATCAACCACACACCAGCCACACACCCACCGCCCCCCCATCTCGCTATCAACCACACACCCGCACACCAGCCTCACACTGACCCCACAATCTCACACCAACCACAAGCACAGAGCAACAACAAATACCACACTAGCTGCCTGCGAATCCCAACCATAACCCCCCCCATCCACCGATCACACACACCCGCCAGTCACCGTCACCCAGTCACAGAGGAGTCATGCATCAACCACACGCCACCGACACACCCATCACACACCGATCAAGCGATCAAATCACACATGGGCCGCACAGTAAGCCTACGTCAACCTCCATACAGGATACACACGACCCGTCACACAGCAACGGGGCATCCACCACGCACCCCCCTACACCAACCTTAACCACACCCCCACACCCCAACCCACGTCAGGCGGGGCCTTGAACTGCAGCCGTGTGCTCAGTCACACTCTGCCCCAGAATGGCAGAGAAGAAAACAGCACCAGGGACAGACTCGGCACTTGTGGCTTCACCCCTACTAGGGCTCAGGCCCAGCCACGACCCTGCACAACATCTCTCGCCAGAGACCTCAGCAAATGCCTCTGGACCGGTGCCCGCCTGGGGTCCCTGGCAGCGACTTTTACGCGGGGCTGCGGGACGCGATCCGTGCATCGGGGCACGTATGTGGACACATGGGGGCAGGGAGAGAGCCCAGTGGGCGGAGGTCAGCCTCGTGCCTGCCCGTGCGTGAGCCTGGACGGTGCCCATGCCCGGTACCCGGGCACGCGCCACCCCTTCTGCCTCTGGCACCACCGCTAACGGCCTCTGTGCGCCTCAAGCTGTCACCATGGGGATCCCCCCAGCATGGGACCAGCGTGACCTCACCAGGGTCCACGGTGCACGCAGGGTCACGGGGGGACACGGCAGCACACATGTGTTCTCCTCCAGAACCGGAGGATGGAAATTTGGGGTGCCCGACCCGGCCACAGGACCATGGGCACCTGGGGCCGGGCTGTCCAGGGCATCGTCCTCCCCTGCCCGTTGGCTCCCACACGGCGGTCACGCACGGCCACTATCTCCAGAGCATTCCTGCCTCCCCTCCCTTCTGAGACATTCTTTCCTGGGACCCTCGAAGCCACATTCCTGGGCCATGAGCGGTCTAGGGCGCTGGGCCGCACCTCAGCTGGGACGGGGGAGGGGCAGATTCCTGCCGGGTCCTCCCCTTGCCTCGCGCCTGGTGCGGGCGACCCCAGGTAACGGGGCACTGGTCCCTGTCATCGTGCGTGGGGACAGTGGCCGCAGGGCGCAAGGGTCAGTCACTCAAGGCCACTCAGAGACCATGAGCCGGAGGCCTTACAGGTGCTCAAACGCCAGGCCCACCCAGCATCCCGCGGTGATCAGCCCCCGAGTCCAGGGAAGGCGCTCGCAGAAGGTTCTAGAACTCTTCTTTTTCCTTTCTCGATGACTGTTTTCCGTCTGGTCCTGGGCGAGGGCCAAGGCTTGGGGGGAGCTTTTGTGGCCTCCAGCTGAGCACCTGCCCTGAGGGCTGTGGCGGGGGTGGGCAGGAGACGGCTGGCTGGGGCTCACGGGGTGTGTGTGTGTGTGTGTGTGTGTGTGTGTGTGTGTGTGTGTTCCCGAGAACTAGACCGCGCAGGGCTCAGGACGGTGCCTCTGGCGGATCCACTGTGAGTTCCGCCAACAGGAGGGTCAGCCTGTCC